ATTGTTGCGTCCTTTTGAATTAATTTATATTATTTCTTTGAAAATAAAATGTAATTTAGAAATGGTTCACTAAACTGAATCATCCTTCGAATCACATTTATTTGTAATCAATTAATTAAATATTTACATTAAAACTTTTACATATTTATATCATTTTGTACGTACAATGACTAAATTTTAAAGAATTTGTCTTTTGGTCTAAATTTATATTATCTGGTAAGACACTGCTGTGTTTGTCATTTCGGTCCTTGAGCAAAATTCAGTTGTTAAACGTATAGGGAGAGGAGTGAGGTATTCTTGATTGTTCAAATGACTAAGGCGGATGGGATAGACCCATGTTACTTGTACACATTTTAAAATTACGATAAATAATCGCATTCGAAGAACTATTCGAAAAGAAAATCGGTGCAGTCTTGATTATGTATTGCGTATTATTTTATCGAGAAAAAAACTATATTGTAATCAGAGTATTTCACGCGGTAAAAGAATGTTTAATGTTTAAATTTACTAATTTACTATCGATACAAGTATGGTTTAAATGATAAATAAACTATGCTATGTGAATTATGCATTTTTCTATTAGCAGAGTAAAACGTCGAGTAATTTTGGTTTAACATCAAGCGTCTATCTGGAATAATAACTACAAAAACCACACTGGCATTTGTCTGGATCTATTTTATTAAGCACAAATAAAATTTCGTACACGATAAACGGGTGTTTCGTAATGTTATCGTTATCCAAAGCTATACACGTACTGATGACTGGTAAAATAGGGTTTAAGGGAACAATACCGTTCACATTGGCGGACGCAATATAGTCAACGGGGGCTAGGTTGAATGACTAAAAAATGTAGGTTTTTTACTTTTAAACGGAAATTGATATCGAAAATGAAAATAATAGTAATAATATAGTTATTAGAAAATAAACATTAAGTAACGTTCAGACAAAAAAGTACTGAATCTATAATATTCTCGGTCAAACAGTGTAAGAGTTATGAAATTGATACGTAAAGCTATAAAACTAATAAGTACTATTAGTGTTATAATATTACTATTACTTCATGACTTACGCCAGTACCTTCTCTTAGAAACTTATCTGTACATGAAATAGGGTAAAATAAAAAATATATAATCAAAGACACACAGTTAGAAGTTGAGATCTCCAGTTGTCAACACGTTTGCCTCCGGCAACTTTGGACCGACACTGGTTGGGACTTTTTAACGTTAGGACATTCGAAATAATTTACATGTACGGTTGCAAAAACGGTCTTGCCTTATAGTGATTATTATTACCCGCAAGTTGTACACACTGGTACCACAGACCACTGCACTATTTTGTTTTAGTTTAGATATTATTAATACGACCGCGGAGGTTAGTATTGCCTTTCCGTGGAGATAGTGTAAAACGGTAACAAAGGGTTATGAAGGTAAACATGTTAAGCCCTGATGATCATAGATATTTAAAAGTGGTCCAGGGGACCACACCATACTACTAGTGTGATTTTTTTCTTTACCAATTACGGGTTTATTTAATAAAGTTCGGACAAGTACTGTAAACGATAGCCTAGACGTGTGGAAGAAATATTCGTGCGGCAAATTTTGAGAATTTGAATATCTCAGAATACCTTTCGAACGAGGTCAAATGTATTAACATTTGCAGATCTGAAAAATCTAATTTATTAATAATGGTCAAACTTTATACGTTTATACATACTTTTAATCCATCCTAATCATCAACGATTATAATCTTATGTTAAAAAATAATACATTATGTATCTGTCTACAATTAGATCACGTTATTTCGTGACCAATTGCACAATCGCGTGTCCGATGTGGTACAGGCGTAAGGCAAATAGTTTTGATACTACTGTGCTGTCAATTAAAAAGTTCATATTATAAATTGCGTTTATGGAAAACATCTTTGTTATAAAAACTACAAACAATACAATTTTTTATTGGTTTTATGTGTATATCGAACTATAAGAATGGCAGTGATATTCATTACTTGTTTGAACAACAAGAATTTCAATAATTCATGTATACCCATTATTAATATATTATTAAATATTGCTTCAATTAAAGAATACAATTTGAAATTAAACATTAAAAATTACTTTCGAACTAACATCTAATTTTTACAACGTGACACAAAAAAAATCTTAATTACATAAAAAAAAACTAGTATATTACGTTCAAGGACGAAGTTACAAAATATACAATAATTTCGAGCGTAGGTTCCGTTTATATATTTGTCCATTTTACAATCCTTCCTTGAGTTTACCGTGTCTTGTAAAATAATGATTATTTAGTACATCGTCAATGATTATTTACTTTAATTTCAATAATAATTATGTTTTCACATACTAAATTATTATAACCTAAAAAAAGGAAATAATTATAAAAAATAAAACTTATTACGTTGTTTTTAATGTAATGTATTCAAAATGACAGTAATTTTGATGAATTAATATCCAACAAAATTGTAGACAGGTATTTTTTAATAGTTTTCTTGTATATATATATATATATATATCCACGTAATTGTATTGTAGCAAAAATATAATGACAAATATTTCAATTTTTAAATAATATTATTTATTTTATATTCGTATATAAAAATTTTACAACAAATGTGAAGTAATATATAATAGGACATACTGATCTATAAGTCTATAGGTGACCTATAACAAAAGGTCTTCTCTAAATTACGTCTAATATACAGGGTGATATAATATCACTACTTTTGGAGTTCAAACGTATTAATGGACGATTTGGGCTAATTTCTTTGGTTCAAATAACTTAATTATTATTAATTTATAATAATGTGATGTAATTTGTTATTTTATTCAATTAATATTTGCTATACTGCTTTAAGATAACGTAGATTTAATTTAAATGCTTATTACGAAATATCAAAAGACAAATATTGATATATTATACTAATTATATTACATTTTCGTGCACACCTTTTAATTTGAATGATAATTGAAGCATTGGTTAAAATGTTGACTATGTTACATACAGGAATTCTACAATAATTAAGTGAATAAAAACGAAATAAATTAGTGTTCCTGTTTGAAAAACAAAAGTTGATATTGCTACAGGATATTTTTTTTAGAAATATAAAAAATTTACGCATTGAAAATTACCGTCTTTTAATACACAAACACATTCCATTCCTACAACCTTATAAGATGTATAATTTAAGCATAAAAGATAAGAGACTTGAAAAGTCCGTTTAATAAAATGCCCATATAATTATCTATGTTCACGGTTAGGATACCTCATTACAAACTTATAACTTTTAATAAATAATTTTCTTCTATATATAAAAAAGATAATTTCCAATATGGAAAGTATTGTTTCAAATTATATTTTTTTCTCTATAAATCAAAAATTATTAAAAATGCCCCGACGCAATAATTTTCGAGAAAAATTCATCAAAAAATATATAAAGAAACTCTTTACATAAATGGTTTGAATTAATAATTATGTTGTAAAAAAGTTAATTATATGCTAAAAAATCAGTAAGCTGGTCTGTTTTTGGAACCAAAAAAACGAAAAAATTCTCATTTTTGCAACATTTGAATTATAAAAAAACATAAAAAAAGGTTAATAAATTTCTTTCTTACATACAATTTTTGACTTTATAGTGCTTGAAAATTAGTAATATTTTATCTACAGAGAAAAATTCTGTTTCAATCCATAAATTCTACTTCTGAGTCTTCTTTGTAATATAAACAGTACTATAATATGCTGAAATGAGAATGATTTTAAATATTTTTTACCTATTGAATAAAATTTGAGTTCTAATTTTAAATTGAATTAAACAATATTTGAGTAATGACAAGATAGTTGTTTATCAAAGATACTAAATAGTTAAAGATATGTGCTTAATGTTAAAAATACTATTAGTAGACCTTTTACAATTAAACCTACTGACCTAAAACCAATATTACAGTTCATTAATTAATAATTAGATAAATACAATTGAAAAAAAAATATCATTCATAATAAATTTAAATTAAACACCCAAATAAATCGCTTTGTAGAAATTGAAATAAGTTTTCATTTCAGCAGAAATATATAATTTATGGATAGGTAATCTTTTAATAAATCTCATATTTAACGCTATCGTTTTTACTTTTTCTTCTCTGCAATAAATAACAGAACCGCAACGGTGGTAATAAAATATTTCATCCGCTTATTTGACTAAAAATATATCATAACACTAAATCCAACTTTTGTGTACATATGTATTCATTTAACACCTGGTCAAAAATGATCTACGTCGGAAAATATGCTGAAAAGGAATCATCAATAAACGCACTATAATACGTGTAATACATCACCGGGTCGATTATTCCATTTTCCCCAATGGTAAGTCGTACAACTATGTTAATGGTAGCCTAGGTTAGTGTCCCATTAATAACGTATTTGAATTTTTACTGAAATTCGTATAAACGCGACAATATACCAATAACATTTTTATGCACCCATTATTATGTATTTACGTAAATATACTTTTATAATGTGTTTGTGTGTGTGTCTGTGTGTCTGTGTGTGTGTGTGTTTGTACCTATCATTGGATCACGTGTACTTCGTGCGTTTAAGGAGGGCGTGACAATAAGAAGTATATGAACTGACAATTATAATGTTTTTCGCCTAGCATCAAATACTTTTACTCCTCGTGATCATTCCGTTGGTGCATTTTGGCTCGTATAATTTAACCGTTAGTTAGCGCTCAGACAGATCGGTGAATCCATTGCACTATATCTATTGCACGTACCCGTAAGTATTTGAACATTGAAATAAATCATATTTTATAAGTACGCGATTTCACTATTATATCCTTGACGACACACGAATCACCGCTGGTTCGCCACTGGTGTTTTTGGTTTAGGCTTCACGATAACTGAAACTATCATCGATAACGGGTAGGTAACCGTGCACGAGAAATCGTCACGTAACCGCGGCGTAGGTTTTGCAGTTGCAGCCGCGGTACGCACGTACTTGGACGCATTTCGGCGGGCTCGTGATCGACAACGAATCGGTTGCTTTTTCGGTGGCGGGAGATTCGTTTTGAAAACATACACCGCTGATCGCGGACTCGCGAGTGTTTGTTTTGTGAGCGAACATTGTTATTCTCAAACGCTACGGGATTTTACAACGATCGGCATGTGAAATTGCCGAAGAGAAACAACTGGTAAGATATTGGTTCTGGACGAAAGTCCTGCGCACAACAATCGAAATCAACGTTGCACCATCACATTCGAAAAACCTTTCCGGGGGTCGACTTTATAAAGGTATATTGAATATCTCTTACTTTTAGTTCAAATACATAATCAATGAGATAACTGGGTATGCTCGCATTAAATCGCATGTCTTGAACGCACGATAATACGTCCACCTTTGAAAATTATTTTGTATGTTTTGTATTATGCACGGAGCGGTAGTATATTGAGCATTTGATCGGGTCAAATATTTCGAAAACCAAGATAAAATAACCGGAGGCTGAATAATATATTTTTGGACCATACATTACGAAATAATTTATTTTATCACATAAATGAATGGAATAGTAAATGTTCGCTGCAGGACGAGACTCTTGCGTTACTATTTCCAAGTTCCTTATCAGTTTGCGCTTCGTTTCGAAATAATATTCTATACGCGTCTGTACCGAATACATCGTGCTTAGGACACTAGAACTGCGGCCCGTTCAAAATGTTGCCGCATACAATTTCTGTGCAGATTTACGATCTGATAAAAAATATACGCATTCGTATTGCCATACTTGCACGCATCACTTTGGATCTAAAACCTTAACTGAACAAGTATGGACCCGCCACTCTAATAGGACGAGCACGTGCGGGCGCTTCGCTAAATATCTTATCGTCATCGGATGCATATATTGATTTATTGTAATACGTTTATGAATAATAATATAGATATCGACTTCAGTGGTAGTGACAAGATGCGACGCTATTTCGGCCGGTTTTGCACGGCTCGGTTTTTGTCCTCTTCCCCCCCCCCCATCCATACGATCTACTATCAGTGATGTACACGCCCTTCCTGGGACGTTCGAAAAAATTGGCGGTGCTATTACTTTCTTATGCTAAAGACTCATGAAACCTGCACCGATATTTTGCAGCAATAAAAGAAATTTGCTGAAATTTGTTAAGCGATTTTTAAAGTTTGCAAATTAGCCGATTCTTCCACAGAAAAATAGAATTTAACATTGGTCACGTCACCACCAGTGGCAAAATTAAAGTGATTTGAAAGAGCGATCGCTGCTTTTAATTTTGATTTAATGTAATTTTACGTTAAATGTATACATTTTTTAACTATGCTTTATATTTATTATGATATATGTTATCAGTATGGTATCGTGTATCCAAGTGAGCAACTTTTTTCCGTATGTTTCATTAAAAACCTTTTGCAGCGTGTACAGGTTAACTAAAATCTTTGATCCATTTTTAAAATTGCTCACTTTACCATTGGATCAGTTCAACAAATAAACCTTTTCGAATCGCGTACATGAATCTCTGTCTTACGTTATACAGGTAGAACTATGCGTGCGAATGTCATTATAACCGCGGGCGCGCTAACCAATCGTTTCAAAATAATAAAATTATTATTCTTACTGCAACTACCATTATAATAATAATTGTAATTATTATTCTTATTATTATTATTATTATTATTAATCTAATTAATATTATAATGATTATACTACGTGCGTTGTTGTCGCCGCAACGACTACCGCGATAAAAGCGTACGAAACAAGCGAAGACATCGTGTAGAAATAGGTAATTGTGCATTTCCCTTTCTTTCGTACAGTACCAAAAATTCGACCCTGAAATCTCCCTCCGTTTCGACATTTTTCATACGGTCATAGACGTATTTACACGCCGCTCTCACGTATATGCCTGTACCGTTGACGCACGGCCATTGAGTCACAAGAAGAAAGGTTTCTGCTCGTACTAGTGACAAACGCGATATGTTTGATAGGTGTATAATAATAAAGTACTTCGTCCAGTTCACGTAAAGTGTTTTTTTTTTTTCATCTCAACATCCTAAAACTATTCATCTTCAACTTTCGTTCTTTCCAAGTACGATAGCCAGGTAAAAGTTTGTTTATTTTATTTTATTTTATTTTTTTCTTTCAATTTCTACTTCTTTTTTCTTCGACCGACCAAATGGTTCAATTTTCAGCTGTACTAAATAGCTAGATAAATAGTATAGAATAACACTATAAGACTATAATATACTTAATAGTTTAGAACGTAAACGTGAAACGAATCAAAACGTGTGCTCGATCGTATCACAATGATAATATATACGATTGCGGTGAATAGTGAGTGCTGCCGCAATAGCTACGCTCAATATTATTCACAAAATCATAATGCAACAATAAACGTTTTTTGCTTATTTCAAATCGTCAATATTATTCTGGTGCTATTTTTAATAAAAATTATATGTTAAAATCAAATAATCTAATAGCTTTTATATTTAAAAGACGTTTCTATTCGTAAAAAAAAAAAATTATAAAAAGAAACGTTCTGCATCTTTTAAATATTTATTATTTTCATCGTTTACGTGTATATAAATTATACTATTCGATGTGGATGTATTGATTTCATCCTGTAAGTATTGCTATTGTGCGAACAATATACTTAAAAATATTTTCGTTGACAAAAACTTAATTACTATGTGCAGCTTTTATGTTACTACTCTAAATTTTAAATAATAAATACCATTTAGAATATTTTAATAGATATAATATATTATATAAATCAAATCAATTGATATAACGATTTCAAGATAGTTTTTATTTTAACTTCTAATTTAATAGCTCATAGAAAACTTTTTAAAAAGAGATTTGCATTTTAATTACATATTTTTTTATTTTTAAATAAAATATTAAACTGTAAAACCTATTTATTTGTAATGGGAACGTATACTCTAGACTACAAACAATTATATTATTATGTTAAATTATTATTCCAATAACAAAACTAACATTTTCTTATAGTGTATGGATACTTATCTAATAATTTATTTTTATTTTTATTTTTATTTAAAGCCTCAACAACTAAGGTTATTGGCTTACATTGTTTACAATATTAATATTACATTATAAAATATATACATATTTGGAATATATCAATATAATTGACTTAAATACGTAAGAAAAGAAAAAAAATTATCTAATAATTATACAAACGTGTTTAGATATAACAAATTAATATGGAAATATGATTTTTTATTTAGCGAAACCATTTGATGTTCATATATTTCTTTACCGTGTTATTTTAATTATTCACGCAGTTTTTTTCTCTGACATTATCCACTTAATCTAGCCCAATGCTTCATGATTAAACGAATAATAAACGAAAATGAACAATTCGCAAGCAACACGTTATAGTGCTGTATACAGATATAATTCACAATAATTGATAGTTAACAATACTAATCTCCGCACACTTTGTAAATGCAAAACAAACGGATCGTCTACATCGAATAAGAACTAAATCATTAACAACATAATTATTATTATGATATACTGTTTGAAAATACGATCGATTTGAAAACTACTGAGAGTTCCTACACTCGTCAATAACACACCAATCATACGTAAATGATTTTTCTCTACAATATATAGTCGAAACACTCCGTGCGACGCACAATACGTTTTGTAATAACAAAATAATAATAATAATAACACGTGAACTATATAGTATTCGTTACACAAATGTTTTATCATGATCATCATTAACATTAGAAAACATTTACCGTTTCCGGTAAAAGACCTAATCGAGCGTTCCCGTCAAACCGTGACGAGACGTTTTGTGTATGGTTTAGTATTGTTCGTGGTGTACCCGAAATATTACGTACAACAAAGGTTCGACAGAAAATCATTGTCCGAATCGTCCGCGAGCAACGACGTTCAATTGCTGAAATTTCAATTTCGCACGACCGCGATCAGTCGCAGACCATCACTGACTCTGACTTGTTAATGTTTGAAAACAAGACTTTTGAACTACCACTGCTAAGTGATAAGATCCTATAGGGAAATTAACGTTCTTTCAATGGCGTGGTGAACATCTTTCAAACCCTAAGCAAATTATTTATACAATGACCCACCTACTAACCCCTCCCTTACACCCCCACATCAAACTATATATAATTTTCTGTACACTAATTTTGAATTTTTGTTATAAGAAGCCTTGCTTATATGTAAATGTACCATTAGAAATTAGATTTTATAATGAATTAATTATAATTAAAATTTAATACATAAAAAATAAAATAGGTTTATAGTAATATCATTATTTATTTACAGTATCACATAAATATAAATTGATTTGTTTATTTATTTAAATAAAAAAGCTCTTTCTAGAAGTTGAGAAGATTTACCTATTCTATCTGATGCTTTTTCTAAATTAAATGAAATATCTTTTTTTGTAAGATAAAATCATTAATGATTCCAATCTGTTTTGACCGATGTTTGTTCTTAATCTATTCTTTATTATATTTACCTGATTAAATAAAAAAAAATGAAGTATTTTAAGAGGATAAATATTAATTTTTAAAACAATTAGGTACCTGAGTAATAATATACATGTATTATAACAAATATATAATAATGATTAAGAGTTATTTAGATATAGTGATTTATAACTAGTAAATACCAATATAATAATAATGGTATAATACTATAATATTGTGTACTAAAGTGTAATATGTATAATTATGATTCGTATAAAACCAATGATTAAAATAACATTTATTATAATGTTAACAATCAGTTAACATTAATTTTAAAAGATACAAAAAATAATTTAATATATATAATTTAGTTCTATCTTACCTTAGAAAATACTCGTTCCGCAGAAGCAGAAGATGTAGGAATGGTACACATGACTTTGAAAGCTAAATATAAATTAGGAAACGAAGCCATTAAACTATAATTACTCATCATTTGGACCATTCGAGGAGCAAAACCAAATCGTTTATCATTTGTATGAGAAACTTCTATATCTTCACTTTCACTATCAATCTCATCATTCTCATTAATATTGTTTGACTGTTGAGCAAAGATTTTAGATACTTCCGGATTGGTAACACCAACTTCCAAAGATTCAAAATTTGCTGCAAAAGCCAAATATTCAGATTGTAAATTGCTTACATTTATCTCAGGAA